TATGACTGAATACATACCATTTTTTTCTTTTTGTGTCTGGGCTACCTCACTCAGGATGGTTTATTTTAGTTCCATCCATTTGCCTGCAAAACAATTGAAATATTCTCCTAGTCCTGTAAGTGACAAAATCAGCAGTGATGTCATTAGAACCATTTGGTCCAATGTCTGGTATGCTAGGGTACTGGATGGACCACAAATCTAGACAGCCCAAAGGGGGTTGAAATACTTCCATTCAAAAGCCTGGGTAGTCAGTCAGATTCAAACAATTTTATCTGTTACAAATAAGAAATACTTAGTGGTTAAAGTCAAGACTTACAACTCACCAGGAAGTGATTACTCTCACCAGATTTTTAGTAGTGTTTGGCTGCATTCACCCATGTTTACCACGACTTCGTTCTCATACTTAGAAGAGTTAGGTAATCTGTTTCACTTTTACTTCATATGTTAGAATGGATGTGTCTCCCTTTACTACACCTTATCACTTTTATCTGAGTAAATATAAGTCATCATACTAAGTTAGCACAGGTACATCCAACTATTGATAACCCATGACTAAACTGGCCTTGTGGCTCAGTATGAAAGGGGTATGCTAAATGTGTCTGTTGATTGGAGTTTAATTCCTCAAAAGTGGAAGGCGGTAATGGACTCCATAATGTTGTTCTCTGTATTCCACATATCACATATGTATCTTGGCACATGTACAAACAAACCACTTCCAACATCACACATGCACACACACACACACACACACACACACACACACACACACACACACACACACAGACACCTGTACACACATGCACACATACAGAAAGAGAGAGAGCAATAACAATACTAATATTAACAACGATAAAAGAGAAACCTGTTCCCATCTTCCTGTTCCTATTACTACTTTTAAGCTGCTCATTAAAAGGTGCCTTTCATTCAGTATGGAACCAGTTTCCTGAATATTGCCTTTCTCAAAAAAATACATTACCTGAAATAATATTTGTTTTTACCAAGTAGGTTTATTGAATTCATTAATGCATTTTCTAACAGATAAATTTTAAGGAGGAAGTAGTAACCGGAGTTTTTTTTTTAATATTTTAGCCACTAAAACTGGCATATTTCCTTTTAAAAACCATTAAAATTAATGAGTGAATTATGCTCAAAGTTTGAACATAAGTGATCCTGAATATAATGGTGTCATTTTAAAAATTAGTAAAAACAAATTAGAAACCAGATGTCTGGACAACAAATCTTATAATCAAGCTCTTCTTTAGACTATACCTTTAGTTCAGCACAAGTAATTCATTTTCCACAAACACATACACAAGTGCACAGAAAATGCTACATGAGCAAACTGAAGAATGTACTATGTATAATTAGGTATATGATGAGAGTGTTCTATATAGATTGTGTTTATGATTCAGAAATGCTTCTGGTATTAGGAACTATAGACATGTTCGCTTTGGTGGAAATCACCTGCTGCCTTGAAATAGATGGAGCAGACTTGCAGCTGAAAATTCAGGAAGCAGGAGGACTTTCAGAGACCAAACCATGTGAGAAAGCATAATCTGTTTTAATGAGTTGTATTATTGAGTGAAAACTATTGTCTGGCCCAAGCTTAAAGGTCATCCTCCCAAAGTGTGCACAAAACTTATGCTTACCAGGGCTAAAATGTAATAAGCAAGAACTCACTACAAAAGGGATCAGAAATTGTATGTAGGAAATATCTTTAGGCACTTTCCCATTGTTTTCAATCCTGCTATTTTTTGAAGTATTAACTATTGAAGCTGAAGACATTAGACAATTTCTGTGGAAATGTAGTTAATGTTTAAAATGACCTTTCAACTTTCAGGTCTGGAATGAAGATGCTTGGCAGCCTAGTCTTCATCCTTCTATGAGAAATGTAGGCAACACTGGGAAAATTGCTGGATATTTCCAGATGTGTGTGAAAAGAGAGAACATGGAGGAAATCACTGCCCAAACCTGAGGCACAAAGAGGTAGAAATGTCCACTGGAAACAGTGTTAGATATAAATACTTGACCTGCCTTCTGTGAATTACTAGGGCTCAGTGCAGACAAGTCTGAGAATGACAAAATCCAGGAGAAGCAAGATGTAGAGGGTTTTTCATATCTTCCTTTGTAGCTTTACTTTAAAGTGATTCAGCCATTGTCATTGTCAACAGTTCAAGACAAACAGGGAAACAAACAAAAACCTCCCTACCTATTTTTGGAGCTGACTGGCCATCTAGACTTTTGAGTGAAAGTAAGCAGACCCCTTTTTTATGGGTTGTCTGGTTTTTGGTCCCATCAACCTAGAATCCTAGACAATAGACTCTGAGAACATTTCAACTGCTAAGAACAGTGGGAATGAAACTATGACTCTTGCACCAGGGGGGCCTTGATTCATCCACAGTCATACCAGGAGAAGGGAACCACTTGAAATCTGCCAGAGCATTTTGTTATTTCTTTTTAACAAAACCTGCACTCAGCAGAAGCTGTTTTGCCAATTGTTCAGACCCAAATCTGAACCTCAGTACAAGGCAATCTCAGGTAAAGCCATCATACCCAAGTTAGATGCAAATGGCTGAATTTGGGTAGTGCACAGACCAGAGTCTCAAGCTTACTACATGACAAAGACTTTGTCATCTCCTGGAATGCATAGTTTTTGGCATGTCTTACCCACCAAAGGTCTATTTACAGAAGTTCATTTTCAGTACTATTTCATTTTTAGCTATCCAGGAAAACTGGGAGGCAAATTAAAAGGACAATAATATCATCATCATCATCATCATCATCATCATCATCATCATCATCATCGTCATCATATTTATCATGTTAATATCATCATCAACAACAGCAACAACAGCAATTGTTAAGGAAAGTGTAAACATTAAAACCAGACTCAAGTATAGCAGAGCTGCTACAATTAATTTCAGAGGCATTTTAACATTCTAGTTAATGAGCTAAATTCAATAAAGTCAATAAAGAGCAAATGACATGTAAGAAACAGAGGAGCAATGCTGGTAGATTAATGGAAATTATAAGAGATGTAAACACAAACAAGCAACAATGACAACAACAAACCTACTGAAGATCAAAAATATAGTAACAGAAATGAAGAATGACTTTGGTGGGCTCATGTGGTAGAAGAACATTGGAATGGAAGGAAGAGCTTCCCTCAAGAGAAACTTCCAGATTTGAAACACAAAAGGAAAAAAAAAAGACTGAGAAAGCGAAGTCAGTACAAAACAACAGCTGAAACCTGTGGGACACCTACGGAGTAGAGCATATGTGCGCCGGAAACACAAAATGGTAAGAAAAAAAGGAAGAAAAAATTGAAATGATGATATGAAAATTTCCACAAGTTATTATTTGGTACTAACCCACCAATCCTGGAAACTCAAAAAATACCAAATATTCATGCCTGGAGAGATGGCTCAATGAATATGAGCACTTGTTATTACAGAGGACCCAGGTTCAAATCTTAGAACCTACATGGTGTCTCCTTACTGTCTGTTACTCCAGTTCCAGGACATTTAATGCCAGCTTCTAAATTCAATAGGTACCAGTAAACGTGTACTGGTATGAATATCCAAGAAGAGAAAACACTCAGGCATACAAAAAAGTAAATAAATTTTAAAAATACAGAGTAGACTAAAAGCCTAATATGTGAAGCTTACTACAGCATATTATATTCATAGAGGAGAATACCAGCAATAAAAAAATGCTGAATGAAGACAGTGGAAAAATAAGCTATTGTTTCTTCAGAAGTAAAGGCAAATCACAACATTTAAGGTCTCCCTAGACGCCCCACAAGGCAAGTTGACTGAAATCTTTTAATGTTCAGAGAAAGAGGGGTTGAAATTCTATACCCTGTGGAATTATTATTTAAAAGTAAAAGATAAATGCAAATTTTCAGAGTTAAACCAAAATAGTGAGGCTGTTGTCAGATCAGTCCTGAAAGAAATGCTATGAGAACTTCCATAGAGGCAAAAGTCACAAGCTGAGATCTACATAAAAAGAAAAATACCAGAAAAGGAATAAGAGAAAGTAAAATAAAATCATGTATTTGTAAAGATCTCAATTGATATAGCAATTTATTCAAAATAGAAGTGGGCCCGAATTGGAAAGTGTATATGTTTACTAATGTATTTTTTTGAAAATTCTTTCTCTTAGTCTTTGTTGTTACAATATAATTATGTAATTTCTTTCTTTTTTTTCCTCCATGAAATCCTCCCATATACTGTCTTTGTTCTCTTTCATGCCCATGGCCTATTTTTCATTAATTTGTATTGCATACATATGCATTCTTAAATACATAAATACAACATGTTCAGTCTCTATAATGTTACTTGTATCTGAGTCTTTGAGGCTGACCGGTGGGTATTGGATAACCAGTTGCTTTCATTCACCTTGGAGAAGACTTTCTCTTGGTTTTAGCACTCTTTTGCTGCCTGTAGTATTTTGTATAGGATTGAGGACTCCTAGGCTCCCTCTACTCCTTCAATCCTGTCAACTTTATTATAAGTATTGTTTTTTTGCATTCTCACCAATAATTGAAATGAATGACAGTGATGATATAAGGAAGAGAAGGAAGGAATTGGAACTATTTGGTTGTTATAATAATAGGACTCTAGTCACAAACCAATGTATTCTCAAGAAGCAGTGTGGTGGTACTGATACACTTTGAAGGCATGGTGTCACCAGGATATCACTTTGTGATTCCCAAGCCATTCACTTCCTGGTAACTTGACATAGGGTAAAGTGATCTACACTACAGAAGTAAGGGTGGGAAATGGTCAAAGGACCTCTTTACCGATTTTCATTTTAGGCTGATTTTATGTCTCTAAAAGTAGTAGTTTTTCCCAAGAGGTTTCACTTTGTTTAATTGACAAACCCATTTGGTTTTCCTTTTAGAGGTGGGGCAATAGTATGCTTTTTTCCTTACCAGAAATTATCCTTCTAGGTAGGAATCTTATAATAGACAGAAATCTGGGAGCCCCATGTGGTTATCTGATAATGAACCTGTTGAAGATGCATGGGTGTCAAGACTCCTCCCAGGGCCAGATATATGACTCTAGTCCCTTTTCTCTGATTAGCAAGTAAAATTCTGTGGATCTCATAATTTAGTTTACATGTTGTTATAGCGCAAGGGAACAGTCCAGCCTCAGTGTCCTCCAAGGTTGCTAAAATCTAAGTAACTAACTAACAAAGAGGCATTACAATTAGTCACATCAATAATTCAGTAACTTTTATCTCAATATCTGATTAAATTCTTAAGATATGTAAAATGATGTTGTAAAGCCTGTGGTATAACCCACTGGGAGTGGAGCCAGACCTAGGATACGGTCATGGGATATATAAGATAGCAGGCAAAGCCGTTTCTCAACAGGAAAGTAGTTGTCAGTAGATGATGGTAGAGCCTTGCTCCAAAATCCCAGAGGTCTCCTCAATGCTTGTGTAGCCAGGTTATGATAATAGAAATTAAGCAATACTTGAATCATATCTCTGATCATAGGAAGAGGGGTCACACTCCCAAATTGTTAGAAGTTCCTTGACAGAAAACTAAGAAAGAGGAGATTTTTCATCATTAAACCTGTTTATAAAAACATGTGGCACTGAATATCAAATCATCAGAAAAATGTTAAGTCCTGTTCAGATAGTTCATATGCAGCTTGCTTCTCTACTAAGCTTTCTATTCTATAATTGAAATTTGGAATCACCTACTATTCTAAAATTTCAAATTAATTTTCCTTTTCCACTACTTCATGTTTTTATTAACAAGGAATTAATTCATATAACCATGAAAACAAATGAAATTGGGACTGGAAGACAGCTAAGTGTGTAAATTGATGGATCCACAACTGTAAGGACACAACTTTGAAACCCCAAGAGTCCTGTGTTGTCAGGTGTGGTAGTGCACATCTGCAATCCCAACACTCCTATGGAGAGATGGGAGGGAGAAGCAGTGAATCCCAACAATACCCAACAATGTCCTCTGACTTCCATACATGAACATCCACACACATATCCATGCACATGAATAAATGACAAGTAATGGCTACTCAAATATTTTTGTATGACTACCTAGTACTCATAAAGCCGCAAGAAACAAGCAATTTCATGGAGTTGGAAATTTACTTACTGAGAAATGTCAATTCCTAAACGTGAGGCCCCCTCACCTTGTAGGAAAATAATCAGTTCACTAACTTCACACTCTTATTTTTCATTCATCTCTTAAGAAGTTTTTCAAATACCTATGAAATCACTGCATTGCCTTTCTCTTGACACTTATTTAATAAATCCTGTACCTATTTAAGGACTCAAACCCCAGCCCAAATGCTCCCTATGCAGTGTTTAAAAATGTTGCCATTACCTAATGTTCATAGTGCCCACACCTATTAGATTAGTTCAAACTTTTTTTTCTTTTTTGCTTAGCTGCTCTGATTACCGTTTGCTTATAGTTTATTTTTAATTCTCTTCATTTGGACTTTATTTCCTTTGTAGGCTTTATTTTTTGATTGTTATCTTTTAAAATCTGTCTTTTATCTATAAACTACCACCTTTTTATACCCAAATTTAGAAACTTGCTCTTGAGTGGTATCCCATAAATGCCCTCTATTGTTATTTTTCTATTGTATTACTTCAAGGAATCAAATATTACTACATCTTTCAGTAAATACGATAATGGTCCACTGTAAAAATTATGAGTCTTATCTAATTTGAGAGGGTCAATTAATGAAACAGTCAGGTAACCTGGGAAATAGTATCTGAAATTTTGTGTACAGAAAGGAGTTTCACTTGAGAAAAGTCAGGAAAGAAGAATTAGGAAGTAAAGAATTGGAACAGGAATGTATTATATTAGACATTGACTATCATGAAATTATATTACAAAAGTAATTGATTTTTAAAAAATGCAAAGCCAAATATTAGACTCATTGTCAGGAACATGGGTTGTTCGGAAATTTGATGTAAAATAATTTTTGTATTTTAAAACTGAGTGCTAAAGTACCCAATAAAGATAATCCTCAGTATGTTATCTTAAGTTCCCCATGTGTCTACTTTTTATATTAACATCTCATGATTATTTTGCTTTAGAATAGATTTGTGTTTCATTAGGCTGAAAACTAAAAGTGAAAACATTAGAAAATATGAGAGATGCAAAGTTTAGTTCCTCAAATCTAATAGAACACTGACAAAGAAACTCTAAAAAAGGGAAAAAAATCTGAGTGCAAATTAAGACAAAATGCCTTGTTTGTTAATGACACCAGTAGGAGAGACACATAATATATAGCTTTTATACATGAAGCTTACAGTGCATCTTCTAGTCAGAGGTAAGCAAATTATGTATTTCAGCAGCCTTCTCACATGCCTCTGGCATTGGTGCAATTTATTGGAATATTTATTGGAACTTGTCTGTGGCCATGTGTCTTTGAAATCTATGGCTTGTATCAGAAGATCCAGCAAATGCTAAAATATTTCCTCTTTGGTGCTTTGCATATAATACTTTTGCCTCATGGTCAATTCTAATGCAATGATAGATCCTTTGTTTTTTCATGGGGGTATATGTTTAAATAGAAACTTTGAGGATTTCTATCTTTCTTCTAGACATCTGATTCAGAGAATTATAAAACACATTTACAATCACTGTATCCCAACCTACACAACTGGCAGAAGGCGTCTTTCCCACCAGAGGAAAGGCCAGCTCCCTCAACCCAAGGTAAGACTGCCCCTCGATGCTTCCCAAACCAGCTAAGCCTAATCCCAACCACTCCACTTCTCCTTGTCATGTTATCCCAGGACATTCTTTCAACAGAGATCCTTTACCCCATCAAAGGCCAGGCCAGATCCCTGAGAACCAGATAATCCACCATTCCACCACACACCCACACTGTCTGAGGAAGGAGAAGATTCCAAGCTCAAAAGCAAGAAAATATTTTTAGTGAAATCATAGGGGAAAAATTTCTTAACATAACAAAGGACATGCTATAAATTTTTGAGAAGTTTACAGAAGAGCCAACAAATTAGGCCAGAAAAGAAAATCCCCTCACCACATAATGAGCAAAACACATGGATCAAAAAAAAGCTGCCAGAGAAAAAGTCCAAGTAACATATAAAGGTAGACCTATTAGAATTACACCTGTCCTCTCAATAGAGACTGAAAGACATAAGAGCCTGTATAGATGTAATACACACTCTTGATTCTGGTCTAGACTACTATGCTGAGCAGACGTTAAATCACCATAGATGTAGAAAACAAGATACTGCATGACATAGTCAAATTTAAATAGTATCTATCCACAAATCCAACTCTGCAGAAGATACTAAAAGGAAAACTCTAACATGAAGAAGTTTACTACACCCACGAAAACAGAGGCAGCACATAATCTTACAATTCTAAAACCCAAAGAAGGAAAATGCATTCTCTCTCTCTCTCTCTCTCACACACACACACACACACACACACACTACCACAAGCTACAACTACAACAAAATAACCAGAATTAGCAATAATTGGTGATTAATATTTCTTAATGTCAATGAACTCCATCCCTCCCCTAAAAGACACAGGCTAACAGAATGTATCTAAAAAGATCTATCTATCCTTCTTCTGACTACACAAGCACTGCAGCATCAAACATAGACCTCACCTCATGCAGCAGATGGTGGAAGTAGCAGCAGACACCCACAGCTAAACCTTGAACTGAAAGTAGGAAAACATTACAAAGAATCAATGAAACAAAGAGTTATTTCTTTGAGAAGATTAACAAGTTAGAAAAACCTCTATCCAAACTCACCAAAAGGCAAAGAGATAGAGCATGTTAATTAACAAAACCAGAAACGAAAAGAGGGATATAACAACGGACACTGAGGAGATCCAGAGAATGATCAGGTCATACTTTGAAAACCAGTACTCGACAAAATAAAAAAAAAATCTAAAGTAAATGGACAATTTTCTGGAAAAATATCACTTACCAATATTAAACCAAGAACAGATAAGCAGATTAAATCCTAGAAGCAGTCATCATAAGCCTCACAACCAAAAACAGCTCAGGGCCAGATGGCTTCACTGCAGAATTCTACCAGAAATTGAAACAAAAGCTAATACCAGTACTCCTCAAATTCTTCCCCACAATAGAAGCATAAGGGACATTGGCAAACTCTTTTTATGAGGCTACAATCACTTTGATAACCAAGCCACACAAAGATACAACTAAAAAAGAGAACTACAGAAAAATATCCCTCATGAACATCCATGCAAAAATACTCAACAAAATATTGGCTAATGTAATCCAAGAAACATCAGAAAAATCATCCAATATGATCAGGTAGGCTTCATCCCAGGGATGCAAGGATGTGTCAACATATGAAAATCCATCAATGTAATCCACCATATAAACAAACTGAAAAAGAAAAACCACATGATCATCTTACTACATATTGAAAAAGCCTTTGACAAAATTGAACATCCCTTTATGATAAAGATCTTGGAGAGAACAGGAATAAACATATCTAAACATGATAAAAGCAATATACACCAAACCAACAGCCAGCATAAACTAAATGGAGAGAAACGCAAAGAGATTCCTCTAAAATCAGGAACAAGACAAGGCTTTCCACACTCTCCATATTGCTTTAATATAGTACTTGAAGTTCTAGCTAGAGCAATAAGAAAACAAAATGAGATCAAAGGGATACAAATGGGAAAGGAAGAAGTCAAACTTTCACTATTTGCAGATGATATGATAGTCTACATAAATGACCTGAAAACCTCTACCAGGGAACTCCTACAGCTGATAAACACTTTCAGCAAAGTAGTAGAATATAAAATTAAGTCAAAAAATCAGTAGCCCTACTTTATACAGATGATAAATCCAATGAAAAAGAAATCAGAGAAATATCACCCTTAACAATATCCACAAGCAATATAAAATATCTTGGGGTAACACTAACCAAAAAAGTCAAATACCTGTATGGTAAGAACTTTGAGTCTTTAAAGAAAGAAATTAAAGAAGATACCAGACAATGGAATCAAATTAAAAATCCTGATATTAACCCACACACCTATGAACACCTGATTTTTGACAAAGATTCTAAATCTATACAATGGAAGAAAGATGGCATCTTCAACAAATGGTGCTGGCAGAACTGGATTTGCACATACAGAAGACTGCAGATAGATACATATCTGTCACCATGCACAAAACTTAAGTTCAAATGGATCAAAGATATCAACATAAATCCAGCCACACTGAATCTTCTAGAAGAAAAAATGGGAGATTCCCCTGAACGAATTTGCACAGGAGACCATTTCCTGAACATTACACCAGTAGCAAAGACATTGAGATCTGCAATTAACAATTGGGACCTCCTGAACCTGAGAAGCTTCTGTAAGGCAAAAGACACAGTCAGTAAGACAAAACAACAGCCAACAGAATAGGAAAAAATCTTCACCAGCCCCACATGTGACAGAAGGCTTATTTCCAAAATATACAATGAACTTAATTTGTATTACAAACTCAATTTGTTTGTAATAGCCAGAACCTGGAAGCAACCTAGATGCCACTCAACTGAAGAATAGATAGAGAAAATGTGGTACATTTATACAATGGAGGACTACTCAGCAGAAAAAAGCAATGGAATTTTGAAATTTGGGGGCAAATGGATGGAACTAGAAGAAACCATCCTGAGTGAGGTAACCCAGTCACAAAAAGACAAACATGGTATGTACTCACTCATATATGAATTTTAGACAGAGAGAAAAGGATTACCAGCCTACCGTCTTCTTCACCAAAGAAACTAGGAAACATGGAAGACTCTAAGGGAAAAATGCATGGACCCAAGGAATGGGAAGGGGCAGGAACTCCTGAGCTAATTGGGAGCATGAGGGTAGGGGAGAGGGAGCTGCCAGAATGAGAACAGGAGAAAAGGAGAAGAGAGGAGAGGAGGAAATGGAGGAGCAGAAATATTGAGTTGGGGGAACAATAGAGGAGAGCAGGATGAGAGATACCATATTAGAGGGAGTCATTATAGGTCTGAGGAGAGATCTGGCACTAGGGAGATCTCCAGAGACCTACAAGGATGATACTAACTGAAAATCTAGGCAATGGTGGCAAGGATAACCTAAATGCCCTTCCCATATAATGAGACTGATGACTACTTTTTATGCCATCCTTGAGCCCTCATCCAGAGGCTGATTGAAGCAGAGGCAGACACCCACAGATATACACTGAAGTGAACTCTGGAACTTAGTTGCAGAGAGGGAGGAATGAAGATCAAATGGTTTGGTAGCAGGCTGGTGCAACCCACAGAAACAGCTGTCCTATACAAGGGATAGCACATGGACCCCAGACTGCTGTCTGGAAGGTCAGTACAGGACTGATCCAGACCCTTGAACATGGATGTCAATTAGGAGGCCTCTGCACTCTATGGGGCCCTGGTAGTGGATTAGTACTTTTCCCTGGTGTTAAGAAGGAATTTTGAGAGCCCATCCCACGTGAAGGGATGCATTATCGGCCTGGACACATTGGGGAGGGCCTAGGCCTGACCTAGGATGATGTGGCAGACTTTGGGGAGCCCCTGTCTATGGAGTGCAGGGTGGATGGGGTGGGGGGCAGGTCAGGGGTAGGTGGGGAGGAGAGGGAGTGACAGAAGTGATTGACATGTGAAATAAGCTTGTTCCTAATTTGAACTAATAAAAAAATACAAAAAAGAAACCAACACAAGGAATAGACAGCTGATAGTATTCAAACTGAGGGCTGAAATCAATCAAATATGAACAAAAGAAACTATCTGAAGAATCAGAGATACAGAGTTGGATCTTTGAGAACTTCATCAAGGTAGTCAAATTTTATCCAAACTAAGAGGAAGAGATAGAATATTCAAATAACAAAATCAGAAAGAAAAGAACCACCAATGGTCAGGGAATATCTAAAGAAATAACCAACATCCTTAGCCACTAGGGAACTGAAAATCAAAGTGATTCCATCTTATACCTGTCAGAATGGCTAAGATCAAAAATACCAGTGACAGCTCCTGCTGGTGAGGATATGGATCAAGTTGAATACTCCACCATTGCTAGTAGGAGGTCAAATTTGTACAGCCACTGTGGAAATCAATATGACAGTTTCTCAGAAAATTGGGATCAATATACTTCAAGACCCAGCTATCCAAATTTTGGGCATACATGCAAAGAATCCTCCCTCATACCACAAGGACACTTGCTCAACTATGTTCATAACAGGTTCATTTGTAACAGCCAGAACCTAGAAACAACCTAGATTCCCTTCAACTAAATAATGTAGTACAATTACCCAATGGAGTATTACTCAGCTGTTAAAAATAATGGCATCATGAAATTCAAAGATAAATTGATGGAACCAGAAAAATAATTTTCTTAAGTGAGATAACCCAGACCCAGAAAGACAAACATGGTACACACTTACTTCTAAGTGGATATTAGCTGTAAGGTAAACTACAATCATGCTACAATCCACAGACCCAGTGAATCTAAGTAATAAGGAGGGCTCAAACAGGGACACTTTGATTTCCTTGAGAAGGGGAACTACATTTTATAGGTAGACTGGAATGGGTGGAGATAGTAGCAGTAGGGATCAGGTGGGGTGGTAGAAGGGAAGAGTACTTGAAGAGATATCTGGAAAAGGTAGACAATTGGGGGTGAGGTAGAAATCTAGTAAAATCAAAACTCCCAGGAATCTCCAAGGTTGACCCCTACCTCAGACTCCTAAAACTATGGGATACGTTCCCTGAACTAACAATCTCCTAAGGATAGTGGAAGGAGTGGGGGACCAACACAGCCACATCACCTTCAACCTACAGTTAGTCTTGCCTACAAGATGTGATGGGGTAAATGTGGCACAGAGTTTGTGGGAGTAGCCAAACAATGACTGGATCAACTTGAGATCCATGGCACAATTGGACTCCTACCCCTGATGCTTCCTGGATCACCAGGACTCAGATGTTGGATATAGCATAGACCTAGGATAGAGGAAAACACGGCTGTTAAAAAAAGGAAAAAGAAAAATAGGAAATGTAATTAATAATGCTTACTATCTGCAATAGTCATAGATTGGTACATATTATGAGAGAGGCTTCACCCAAAGCAGATGAAAAAGCCCATGGTCAAACATTAGGTGGAGCTAGGAGGATCCTGTGCAAGACAGGGAGCAAGGATTTCTGGAGCCAGAGGGTTTAATGGTGCCACAAGAAAACCTACAGAATCAACTAGCCTAAGCTCATAGGGGCAACCAACAACCAGAGAGCCTACATGGGTCTGCCTTGGCAATCTGTATATATGTTACAGTTATCTAGTTAGAACTTCCTGCACAACTCCTAATAGCGGGAGCTAGAGCTATCTCAGTTTTGCTTGCTGTTGTTAACCTTTTCCTCATTCTGCATTGCTTAGTTCAGCCTTAATAGGAAGGGAGGTGCCTAGTCTTACTGAAACTTGATATCCATGGGAAGCCTGCCCTTTTCTGAATAGAAATGGAGGAAGAGGGGATATTGGGACAGGCGGAAGGTTGTGGGGAGGCACTGGGGGGAGAGAGGAGGCAGCAAAAAACTGCAGGCAGTATCTTCATAATGATGATGATGGTGATAAATCATTAAGAAAACACATTTGCAAGTTATGAGTCAAATTCTCAATGGGAAACTAGATAACAGAAGATTATTCCAAGGACATTTTATACAGAAGTATTAAAATGGTTCATGTAGAATTATGAATAATGAGAGCAGATATTGGCACCATAACAGAGGGTCAGGTGCTACCACCCTAAGGCCCAGATGCAATAAAAAGAAGCAGCTCCCAGAACTCTAATGATGGAAGACTGCCTTGCATCAAGAGTACTTAGTCCTTAGACATCAGGCTTGGTTGGAGGAAAAGAGAGTAACTCTCTGCCCTTATTTTCTCCATCCCTCCAGGTTTGATCAGTGGTTCTCATTGGGAATCCAAATGGAAGCCTGAGGGCAGAAAATCTAGGTCTTTAGATGTAAACCAGGTCAGTCTCTTAGGGCAGAGGGCACAGTGAACAGTATAGAAAGTGGATCAAATAGAAAGAGAAGAAATAACAGGAGAAAATGGCTAGAATATTATGTCTGTTTTCAACAAGTGGGACCTCCAGCTCCAGCTATCTATTAAAGAAGAAAATAGTGAGTGCCCTAACTCAGTATAGCAGATGGTGTATGTGTAAGTGTGTATGTGTGTGTGTACGATGTAGGAATGCCTTAATTTACCATAAAGTCTATGAAAATACATTTGTATATGTACACACAGCAGATTTAAGTATAACATAAAATTTCACCATTCTCTAAATGTGAAACCTCCTAATATGATTTGCTCTAGATTGCCTATTGACTTTTATTTATTATATTCTTACAGCAAACAACAAAGACATCAACAATCATTTATATTCTTCTCAAAATTTTCATAGAAAATGTTTGGTGAATGAATTTTCAATGGGTTTAATGACCAAGTTTGAATGAGAGAATTACATTGTATAGAATAATCTCCATCCAGGGTTACCTATGTAGGCTACAGCAAATAAATTAATAATGCTTACTATCTGCAATAGTCATAGATTGGTACATATTATGAGAGAGGCTTCACCCAAAGCAGATGAAAAAGCCCATGGTCAAGCATTAGGTGGAGCAGTCGCCTCTAAAATAACACCCTTAGTTTTTGTATTTGTGTACACACACACACACACACACACACACACACACACACACTGTTTTTGACTTGCAAATGTGTATTCGGCCTAATCATTATCTATCTCACTCATTACATCACAAATTGCTCACATTTCTGATGGATAGGGAAAATTCTGATCAGATTTGACCTAGGAAAAACTATCATGAAACAGTAGTGTTCTCCCTGAATTTTCCTATTGTTTTCACTAGGATATTTTACACATCTTTAAAATTGTAGAAAGAAAAGAAAAGTTGTATAGTATCACAATTTGTTTTGCCTATGAATGTGAAAATGAACTCTGTCCAGTGTAACCAATACATTATTACCTGCAGTTATTGATCAATTTTGCATGTATAAAATCAGGTCAGCATTTCCTAGTGCCTAATATATGAGTGGTTCTATGAATTCTTAAAATCAGTTGCATCATTTTATTTTTGCCTCAATAATTGATGAGTTGTACAAGACTTTTACTATGTATTTATTTTGGAGATTTTATATCTGTTGTGGTTTTACCTTTTTTTTTTTAAGTGTCCCACACTGATAGCATGACTAAAAGCAAGGGTCATGATTTACACTGGAGAAGACATTAGCTACTCAATAGGCTTTGAAAGATGGTACCAATTCCCTAGAGGGTGAGAGAAGAATTGCTCAGCAGCACTTTGAGTAAATAACAACTTAAGCACCATGGGCTTTATACGTCAAGTTGATAAAGGAAACAACTTAAAAAGACAAACACATACAATGCTTCTTAACCTGATCTGTGATTTTTATGATCAAGTGCTGTACTTACACAGCTTGCCATGTAGTACTTTGGAAATACCTCAGAGAATGACAGGGTATGATTTCCATTCTTTTTATTGTGGAGGAAAAAGTAATTTTATTGTCGTTTGAATATTTTTATACACATCCTTCATGCACGAGCTCCCATCTCCTGAAAATTGTGGGTTCCCTATGGTTCCAGGCTGCTAGCAGGTTAAGGAGGAAATGTTTACATCTCATGCAAGATTAATTAGGTTTCTGCAAGTTTCAAAGAAAGCACCTGCTCTCTAAAGTTACAGGGAGAATTTGGCAGCAGTATCAATCACTCCCCAGCTTGTCAATCAACTAGTATATACAAATAATCTAAGCACACTTGCTTTGCAATTAGCTGCAGGAAATATTATTTTCCATGTAGAAATTAACCAACAATTACATTTGATAACAGTCCAAAAGTTCAAACTATATGCAATGCCAATATTAAAATCATATATACACACATGCACATACTTACACACATATGTATGCTTATGTATAAATCGATATACTTGTTATTTGAATTAGAGATTATATGATGACATATATTATACTTGTGTGAGATCAATATTAGAAGTAAGTTTGCAAATGTACTCAGAGATTTAGTTAATTGGCAATTTATGGCTTAAGAAAACACATATAGTATGTGATTTGAATTCAGTGAACCAATTTGTATTGAAAAGTGTGTATATTTAGGAAAGTTACATATATTCTTGTTTATGATTGTCTTACAGTTTCTTTTCTGAGAGGAGACACCATGCCACAACAACTCTTACAAAGGAAAACATTTAATTGGGGGTTGCTCACTTACAGTTCAATGGTTCAGTCCATTATCATCATGGAGGGACATGGTGGCATGTAGGCAGACAAGGTACTGGGGAAGTAGCTAAGTGTCCTACATCCTACAAACAACAAGAGTGGTCTGTCCAACAATCAGTAATCTGTCTCACTGAGCTTGGATTGAGCATATATTAAACCTCAAAGCCTGCCTCCACAGTGACACACTTCCTCCAACAAGACCACACCTACTGTGATAAGGCCACAACTCCTAATAGTGCCACTCCCTTTGGGGGCTATTTATTTGCAAACAACCACAATGACAAATTTTGTTAAGTGGTTTAGATGATGTAGACTCTGTGCCTTCATTGCTGAAAACCAGGGTAAGTCTCACTTCCACTAGAAACTGGGGCTTTGGGTTATACAATGGTAAAATAAACATAATCCCACACATCTATCACTTAAATAAGTGGTAACTTGTTATAATACATAAACAAGAAAACATCATCATCAAAATATAAGAGAGGTTGATCCAATTAGTAATGATCTGGTGTGGGATTATTTGTACTGTGGATTTCAGTGATTTCCATCTGACCTGTAATGTACAAAAGATTAAGAGTATTCAGAAGTAATAAACCAAGATTGAAGAAAAACTAGAGCTGTTGACTTTCATGCTAGTTTTTCTGCCATTTATTTACATATGTCAGACTCACAGATTCTCTCAAAGTCAAAGATTATCATTCAAAATGATTCATAGACACAGGGCAATCCAAAATTGTGTCTCATAATACTTGCAGGCCAATAACATTACACTTGTATATCAGCAGCCAGTTGAACTCCAGGAAACAAAATAAGTCTGCTTAAATTTGTGATCAGAAGAGAAAAATTAGTACAAAAACTAGGGACTGATAAGGTCACAAGTAGAATTACTTGAAATAATATTGAAATCATAAAAGTCTATTTTATGTTGATAACTTTTTTTTTCCATTTTCTTTTCAGAGAGATGGCAAAGACTATTTCTGCCATCAGGGAAAAATATATCTGCCTTCACAAATATTTAAGGTATGGAAATTCCAAGATTTGGAATAAATGGTTGAATAAGTTCTAGCATCAACTATAGATACATTTTAAGTATTTTTCCTTATCTGAGTCACACACACACACACACACACACACACACACACACACACCATCCTGAATACTGTCAGCCTCATATTGTGTTATTGCCTTCCCATCCTATTATCCCTTCCTCCCTACAAGTCCCTTGCCCACATTCATATCTGTTTATTTTGTCTTGTCACCCACTGATTTTTGCTGTGGCTGTTTGTGCTCCTTTGGATTTGTCATTATTTCTTGATGGTACACAGTCAAAGACAATGTCTGCTCACCCCTCCCAGCCCTCACTGAGTCCATCACTAATCCATAGCTCAACATGAAAGGATAGGGCAAAAGGAACCACTTCCTGATCACTGACTCACTGTTGACAGTCCCAGCTTTGGTGGGCCCATTGTTAGAAGCCACTGCTGCTACAAAATCAGGATTGAATTGACTTTGCCATATGTACAAGATAGTTTTACCCAGCTTTTTCTCTATCTCTCAGCTCTTGCATCCTCCTCATTGTCTCTTCTTCTTTAGTCTCTGAGCCTCAAAAAGCTCAGTTTCCTGTTTACTCATGAGCACATAACTACCCCTCGTTCTCAGTATCATGAGAAGCCACTTGTCTCTGTGTTCACCATTTTCCATTAAAAAGAAGATTTGCTGATTAATACTGAGAAGAAAATTTGTCTATTACCACAAACATTTCTTTAGATGTCAGCTTGGAATTCTGTCAATTTAGCTAAACAGCAGTATTCATTCTTTAAATTCATTCTTTTTTTTTTTTGCTGATTTTACGGTTTTTTTTTGCCAAAATAATTACATCATTTGCCCTTCCATTTCCTCCTTTCAACCCCCACCCATAACTCCTCACACTGTTTTTCTCTAATCCATGGCCTGAGAACCAACTACCCTGGGGTCATATGGGCTCATGGAGTCTGAATCAACAACCAGGGAGCCTACATGGAACTGACCTAGACCCTGTGCTTATATGGGACACTTGTATAGATTGGTCTTCCTGTGGGACTTAAAATATTTGGGAGCAAGGGCTATATGTTACTCTTTTGGTGGCTTTTGGGACCCTAGTCCTCATACTGGATTGCCTTGCTAAGCCTTAATAAAATGGGAGGTACTTAGTCTGACTGTAACTTGATATGCCATATTTTGTTGATATCTATGGGAGGCCTGCCATTTTCTGAACAGAATTGGAGGTGTGGATGGATGTTGAAGAGTGGGAGAAGAGAGAATAGGAAGATAGAAAGGATGGCAAACTGCAGTCAGGCTGTTAAGTGGATGGATGGATAGATAGATGATAGTCAGATGATAGATGACAGATAGATGATAGATAGACAGATAGATAGACAGATCGATAGAACATAAATAGATAGACAGATAGATAATATGTCCAATGATAATTGTATGTATGATTTCAGGCCTGAACATTTGGTATTGGTTAGCAATTAGTGTGCTCTTTCCTGGGGAATACTTCCACCATCCCTGCTCTCAAACTGTATTTTGTTTGTGAAGCCCTGTGAGTTTACCTCCTTCACATTAGCATGTCTAATATGGTGCCGCTTTTGTTCAAGTCATTTTGTGGTAGCCATGTTGAGAAGATTTCAATGGGTCTAGTTTCTGGCATTTCTAGGAGATTCAATTCCATATCAAACTCACTGTTCTTCTAGCTCTTACCCCACCCCAAACCTCCTGCCACAATGATCCTCGAGCCTTAGAGGTAGGTTTTTAGTTAACTGGTTTACTGAACCAGGCATGAATTCCCTCTTGTGGAGTAATACACAAAACCAATGATAGAGTAACTTTTTGTCCAAAACAGTAATGGTATTCTTGTACCAGGGAATCAATCTTTCCTGGCATGATGGGATTATATTTTACTTTGCTGGGTGTGATCTTTGATGTTTATTTTCTTAATCACTATTGCATAGTGACAATACAGAAAAAGATAAAGCAGATATGAATTCTGTTTTCTGGTTCAAGTTGATATCAGGGAGGCAGTGAGCCTTTACTCATTTATAATGTTATTAAACATAAACTTTTCCAATTGCATTGTCATCCCAAGTCTTGCAAATACCTTGCTTAGTAAAAGAACTAAAATCATCATCTAATATGTATTAATTTATTCATTTCTCAAGTGTATTAATTTGTGAAGAATTAAGCAGTACCATAGATTTGTCTGTGATTTTTGCATGTTTCTGTCTCATTAACTTCTGTGTGTCTCTCAGGACTGGTTTATTACAATGTCTATCTTTTGGCTGAGAATGAAAAGTTTGAGCAAATCTTCATAATGATTGCATTTAAATTTGATGGCAAACTGCCACATTTTGGTCTTTTTGGTATGGACAGATAACATCATCTATAATGAATATTGTGGTTGAAAAATGCTTGGTGGTTAATATATAACTTTAGCTAGTGACTTTCCTTGAGAAGACACCCCACATGCTTCACTTTCAACAGTGCTTCCTTCAGATGCCTAAAGGTTGCTTTCAAACTTCCCCAAGGAAGAGTGCTAAATACTTCCATTTATATGTGTGTTCTTTACTGACACTTCTCATAATCCTCCTGTGAGTATATGGGCCAAACTGCAGAGCTGCTGCCCTGGGAAAATGATACTCACGTGGATCTAGTTTATCCCATCATGTGAACATAGTTCATTTCAAATGGGAAGCATTCTTGCTACACAGTAACCTCTATTAACCAGTGTGCTTATCTATTCTCATATCTGATTAGGTAGTGGTATGAGAAATTAATTCCTGCTATTAATGTATAATGCCCTGAATACACAACATCTTCCATATTGAATGTAATTAAAAGGTTCAGGAGTTATTAATGTTCAGATTGTCTACTTTCTGATGTGCTATCCTTTTTGTGAATAAGTTTATCCTCAGTGTTCCTTATCTACAAACCTGTCAATTACTATGAATAATGCTGTCTCCTGAGCAAGTATGTACCAAAGTATAAAAGGTTTCATGGATCCCTGTCCACTTGGTCTCTCATTCTCCATGTAACAGTTTTGTACCTATAATATTCTTCTATGAGCTTCAGATAATTGAATGATCACTGTAACGGTTAAAGAAAACTGGAGGATACATTATGACCTCCTGCATTTTTATCTAGTCACTTACATGCTTCCATTTATAAATACTATATTCTCTCTTAATCATATTGTCTGTTTGAAATGACACACACAGTAGGATGTTGCTCCCAAGCTATCACTTCTCCCACTTGTACACATGGCTGTAAGTCTTTTGTAAATTTTTGTAGCATTAATTTTTCCTTTCCAGTTGCTCATTAAAGTGAAGAAGAACTTTGAAGCAGAACTGAATTGTCTCTTGCATTTATGTATGAATGAATGGGCTGTAGACACAGTTTAGTGGGTGAAGGGTTTGACATGCAAGACTGTAGACACGAGGTTGGATGCCCCAAAACCAAGCAAACACCAAGCATAGTAGCACATATGTCTATCTCTTGTCTCAGCAAACCCCAACTGGGAGACAGGATGCAAAGGCAGATGAATCATGGAAAGATGATAGTTAGCTGGGCTGTGAACTCAGTAGAGAAATGAGAAGACTTGTATCAAACAAAGTAGAAAGTGAATACTCACACCTGATTTTGTATATCTGAGTTTGTTCACTGATTGCCACACTTGTGCAGTAAATAACACATGTAAACTCCATCTCACACACATACACACACACACACACACACACACACACACACACACACACACACTCCAGTAAATGAATGAATAATGAATCTTCCACAAAACTTACAAACTTACATGTGCTTCATAATTTCACCCCATTCTTCCACTTCTCTAGACTGTCAGTTCGCTGTAGCAATTCTGTTATCTCTGACATCCACAGCTATTCAAACTCTATCCTTGATAACTAAGTGAGCTTGTTGTCTTTTTTTTTCCAGAGCCCCAAATAACTTTTATTAATAAATGAAAGCCATTATCTTACCATTTTTGTGACTTGTTTTCTCATTGTGTTGGTCTTTTGGAACTCTTTCTTTTCCGCATTTCTGGAAGAACCATGCCATAATTGATAAACATGCATGAGTGGCAAATGTAAGACTGTGGAAATGTAAGAGTAGATTTTAAAGGCACTTATATACTGCATTATGAATGTCTGAAAATTCCTTGGAGATAAATATGGATTTGACTTTTTAATATTGATATACTTATTATGTGTTTTTGTGTAAATGTAAAAGCCATGATAAATGTATGTTGTGGTTCAAGGAATACTTGCAGGAGATAATTTGTTCCTCCAATCCATGAGGGTTGTGAGGTCTGTACTCATTTCATCAGGCTTGGCTGAAATGCCTTTGTATAATATCCATCTTGTCAGTAGACTTTTAAACATACGTGACAGAGTAAATTTGAGAAGGAGGATTAGAGACAGAGACAGAGACAAGGAGAGACAGACAGGGAGAGTGAGAGGGGAAGAGAGGAAGAGAGAGAGAAAGAGAGAGAGGGAGAGAGAGAGAGAGAGAGAGAGAGAGAGAGAGAGAGAGAGAGAGAGAGAGAGAGAGAGTTTTGAGAAGGCATGATAGGGAAACCAAATATTTTAACTATTTTCCTATGAAATGTGACTACTAGGGGCATCTCTGTTACTACATCCTGACCTTTCTATTTGCTACAAGTCTTTTTGGACTCAGTATATGCAGACATTTTACACTAATAGATATAGTGCATCTCTTGGATGTTCTTGTTTCATAAAATGCACTTAAGAAACTTGATCAATTTCACTACTGGAACTGTAGTTATAAATTAGTGAATTTGGAAAATGTTGGTGGCCACACATTTTTGATATTCTTTAATGCAAGAGAATGAAACCAATAGGTATAAGAAATGAAAGAAAAGAGCCTGGGAGGCTTTTGTCCATGTTCCAGTTGTTCCTACATTTCCCGGGGCTTGTTTGACAACATTTTGGAGAGCTTTTATCTTAATT